TGGCTGCAGCAGCCATAGCTAGGCTGATATGAAGCCAGGAGCCAGGAGCGTCCTCCTGGTCTCCCACGTGGGTGCAGGGACCCAAGCACTTGGGCCATCTTCTACTGCCAGGCCACAGCAGAGAGCAAGATTGAAGTAGGGCAGCCGGCACTCAGACAGGTGTCTGCACGGGATGCCAGTACTGCAGGCGGAGGCTTAACCTACTACACCACAGCGCCGGCCCCCAAACACTTCATTTTATGCCTATTTCAAAGCAGTTCTCCCCCATTTAAACACGCATCCGCCTCCCTTGGGTGAGCTCCTTGTCTAGAGACAGCAACAGAGCCTCTACTGATGTGACTGCAAGACCTTAGCCAGAGTTCATGGTTTTGAAGCATCAGCACTCCAAACAGGAGCAGAAAAGCACAGTGTGGCCGCAAAGCTCAACAGAATTCACGACCAGCCACGTGATGCAGCCACGAAGGGCCCTGAGTGTCCCTTGGGATTTTTCAGTGTTTGTGTTTCTATCCTGGTGGTTCCCGGAAAGAGTACCACCTGTGTCCTGCGGATCACCTGGCCGACCGCCCAGCTCGCATTCCGCTCCCCCATGCGGCTGTCCGTGCTTTGTCGCGGGTTCCCAGCTTCGCCGGCACTGTTGAGCTACCCAGGCTCAGCACCCCCAGGGTCCGGGAGCCTTCTCAGGCACAGCCTGCAGCATTTCACAGCCAGCCCTTCAGTGGACCCTGCATACGCGGTGGGAGAGTCCTGTCTTGGTCCAGCTTTTGCTACTCTAACAGAATACCCACGAATGGTCATTTGTAAAGGAGATAGGTTTGTTTTAGTTCAGGCCAAGTGTGGCTGCACGCAGTGGAGGCCTTGTGCAGCTTCCGTAGCAGAAAGCAGGGTGCGTGCAAAAGAAGGAAGACACAGGGGGGCCCGTCTCATGGTACCCACAGAAGCACGCTAATCCTCTCGTGAGGGCGATGCCCCATAACCCCAACACGCCTTAAAGGCCACACCACCCCTCAGTGCCTTTACACTGGCAGAAATCTCAGCGTTTGGCCTAACAGCAAACAAGCAGGTTAGCATCCCTGCACCCCACGTCACAGTGCCTCGGTTTGACTTCTGGCTCGGCTTCTTGGCTTTTTTCTAATGCAGACCCCAGGAGGCAGCAGCGATGCCCAAGCCCCTGGGATCCTGTTACCCGTTTGGGAGAGCTGACAGAGTGCCTGTCTCCCCGCTTCGGCTCCGTTCAGCCTGGCTGTTGCAGGCCTTTGGGGAATGAACCACTGAAAGGGAACTCCCTCTTTCTCTCTCTCTCACATAAATTTTTTAAAATATGTATTGCATTTTTAGAAATGTCAACATGTGTTTTGGTGTGGCCATACCAGGTCCACACCATAGCATCTCCCAATCTTTGGGAAGTAGACAGTTGACTTTTTTTTTAAGATTTACTTACCTATTTGTTTATTTGAAAGGAAGAGCTAGAGAGAGAGAGAGAGAGAGGGAGGGAAGGAGGGAAGGAGGGAGGGAGGGAGATCTTCCATTCACTGGTTTACTCCCCAAATGACCACAGCGGAGCCAGGAGCTTCTTCCAGATCTCCCACGTGGGTGCAGAGGCCCACACGCTGGGCCATCCTCCACGGCTTTCCCAGGTACCTTAGCAGGGAGCTGAATTGGAAGTGAAGCAGCCGGTGCCCATCTGGGGTGCCGGCATCACAGGCGGTGGCTTCACCGGCTTCACCGCGACACCAGTCCCAGGATGGTGGAGTCCGAATTTCTGAACTTGTGATGGCAGCCAGAGGGGTTGGAGAAGAGCAGTAAAGTGGAAATTATGAATGTGTAATTTACAGGGGAAACAGGCAATGTAAAGAGCAGAAAGCCATACCTAATTTATGCACAGGGACAGAATGTGCGCTGAAAGTCAAGACAAGATCCTTAAAGATTAGATAGAAAAACAGGATAGAAAGAGAAGAGCAAAGAGGTGGAGGTGTCAAGGAGCGGAGTGTCCGGCAGAAACACTGGCTCACAGTCACCGAGCTGTACAGTGAGAAAAAGGGAGACCATCCACACATATTAGGCGTTCCGGAGCGGTCCTCCACCTTTCCTCCCCCTGCACCCCTTGTACTCACACACTTCACACTCCCGAGAATAACGGACGAGGGTCTCAAATGTTCCAAGGGAAGAAGCAGGGGCAGTCGCCGGCCCCACCTGCCGTGAGAATCCACTTCAGCCGGGTACCGAAAGGTCTAATTTAGTGTCTGGGTATCATTGGAAGACAAGTTGCTCCGTGTAAGTAACATTGAAGCCTCACCCATGGGATGGCTGTTGGCAAAACAAAGCAGACAGCAAGTGTTGGCAGAGATGTGGAGGAACTGGAGTCTGGTACATTGCTGGTGGGAACAGAACATGGTACAGCTATGGTGTTCCTAAGCATAAAATGAACTAGCATGGTGGTTCCTAAAAAAACTAACCATAGAATTACCATATGATCCAGCAATTCTCCCTCTCTGTATGGATCCTGCCTCCTACAACAAGGAAAGGAAGGACTAAACAGATTCTCGTCCATCCATGTTTATAGAGAGCTTCACAGTAAACAGGAGGAAGCAATCTGTTAGTGCCAAATGGATAAACAAAATGTGGTATACTTTCTTTTTAAGATTTTTGTATAGGGGCCGGCGCGATGGTGTAGCGGGTAAAGCCACTGTCTGCAGTGCTGACATCTCATATGGGCGCTGATTCGAGTCCCTGCTGCTCTACTTCTGATCCAGCTCTCTGCTATGGCCTGGGAAAGCAGTAGAAGATGGCCCAAGTCCTTGGGCTCCTGCATGTGGGAGACCCGGAGGAAGCTCCGGGCTTTGGATTGGCGCAGCTCCAGCTATTACAGACCCAAGGAGTAAACAAGTGGATGGAAGGCCAACCTACCCCCCACCCTCTGCCTCTGCTTCTACCTCTGCCTGTCTGTAACTCTGCCTTTCAAATAAATATATAAATCTTTTTTTTTAATTATGTATTTATTTGAAAGAGTTAGAGAGAGGGAGAGACAGAGAGCAAGTCTTCCATTCAATGGTTCACTCACTCCCCAGGTGGCTGCCAAGGCCAGAGCTGAGGCAGACAGGAGCCAGGAGCTTCTTCCAGGTCTCCCATGTGGGTGCAGGGGCCCAAGCACTTGGGTCATTCTCTGCAGCTTTTCCTAGGCACATTAACAGGGAGCTGGATTGGAAGTAAAGGAGCTGGTACACAAACCAGCACCCATTTGAGATGCCAGTGTCATAGGTATTGGCTTTACCCATTATGCCACAATACCGGCCACCAAAACGTGGTATACTTATAAATGGTTTTATCATTCAGCCTCAAGGAGGAAAGAAATTGTGACACTTGCTACAGCATAGGTGAAACCTGAATATATTCTGCTAAGATGAATAAGCCAGGTACAAAAAGACAAAGACTGTAGATTGCACTACACAAGGAGCCTAGACCAGGCAAGTTCAAAGGCACAGAAAGTAGACAGGTGCTTGCCAGAGCCTGGTGTGGGAGAAGAGGGTTGTTTAATAGGCGCAGAGTCTCAGCTTTAAAAGATGTGAAAGCGGGGGGGGGGGAGGGGGCACTGTGGCACAGCAGGTCAACACCCTGGCCTGGGGCGCCGTCATACCATATGGGCACCTGTTCTAGTCCCAGCTGCTCCTCTTCTGATCTAGTGCTCTGCTATGGCCTGGGAAAGCAGTGGAGGATGGCCCAACTCCTTGGGCCCCTGTACCCACATGAGGGACCCAGAAGAAGCTCCTGGCTTGAAGCCAACTGGGGAGTGAGCCAGTGGATGGAGGACCTCTCTCCCTCTCCTCCCTCTCCTTCTCTCTCTTCCTCTCTCCCTCCCCCCCTTTCCCTCTCTCTCTTTACCTCTCTCTCTCTCTGCCCCTCCTCTCTCTTTCCCTCTCTCTCTCTCTGCCCCTCCTCTCTCTGTTCAGCTCTGACTTTCAAATAAATAAATCTAAGGAAGGAGGGAAGGTAGGAAGGTAGATGTGAAGTGGGGGCCAGCACTGTGGTGTAGTGGATTAAGCCTCCACCTATGGTGCCGACATCCCATGTGGGCACCGGTTCGAGTCCTGACAGTTCCACTTCCAATCCAGCTCCCTTCTAATGGCCTGGGAAAGCAGTGAAAGATGGACTGAGTGCATGGGCCCCTGCACCCTTCACCGGGTGAAGCTCCTGGCTTTAGCCTGGTCCCTCCGGCCTTTACGGCCATCCGGGGAGTGAATCAGCAGATGGAATATCTTTCTCTCTCTCTGTGTCTCTCTCTATTTGTAACTCTGCCTCTCAAATATATAAATACATCTTCAAAAAAAGGAAAAAAAAAGATGTAAAAAATCCTCCAGATGGGTAGTGGTGATGGCACAATCGTGTGACTATACTTGGTGCCACAGAGCTGCACACCAAAAATAGCTGAAACGGTAAATGTTATCTGCATTTTACCACAACTTAAAAATATTAAGCAAGCTTGTGTTTCCAGCCTCCCCGTGGGAGCACCACACCTTGACAAGGCTCATTTTTAATGGACACGTTCCCTGGCCAGGGACACAGGCCCCTGCTCTCTTAGAGCGGGGCAGCCTTCCCCAACCCCCGCCTGAACTTCTCCTGAGGGTCCTGGCTGTAGGCGGACTCAGCTCGTTCCCCAGTCCTCTCCCTGGCCAGCTTTGCACCACTTGGTCCCTTTCCAATGGTCCTCTGTCCCTTCCCTAGCCTCCTGTGTCCTGAACGCTTCCCTTCAAATTTGCCATTTGCATTCTCAAATCTGCTGCGAGACGAGAGATGAGAGATGGCCAAGAGGCAGGTGTGTTCATGTCGGGGGGCCCTGGAAGGCTGGGCAGCCCCTAATAAATCTGGGGTTCCGTTGTGGCTATGACCCTCTACCTGCCCCCTGCCTTCCCCTCCTGGGAGCGCCCTGGACTGGCATTGCTTGGTACTGTTTTAAAAATAGACCACCGTGGGCTGCAGAGGCGGTACCTGGACAGCCGAGCAGGAGCATGTGGGCCCGGGGGGACCATTACGAGTTCTCCTTCCTGCGCCCTATTCCCCTCAAGATGAAGGTGGCTGTGGGATGACTTCTCCTCCTTATGGAGCTGGTGGGATGGTGACACGGGTCAAATCCCCCATCCACCCAGAGCCCTGACCCTTCCCTGTCTGCCCCCCTGATGGGGACCCCAAGGCAGCCAAAGTCAAGGACAGCTTCTGAAACCGCACATTGGCCCCCCCTGAGTGGTGTCTTCACCTCCCGCCCGCTCACGCTCTTGCCCTGGTGGTGGACTCCACCTGAGGAAGCTCACCCAGCTCGAGACTTCTACAAGAAAATGCCAGAGGCTGCAAGCAGGGTGGGTGAGCTTCTGGACGAGCTGGACCTGGGCGTGGACCCCCCAACTCCTTCCACGTGTTCCGGACAGACAGCAGAGAGCATCCAGGGGCCCACACCGACAAAGGTGCTGTGGGGAGGAGCCTGGTTCTGCACTATGGAGCTCCTGTACCACCTGGGGAGGGCCCTGGCTCTGTGTGGCCAGACCCAGTGTGAGGTCATCGGAGATGCCTTCTCTGTGGGCCGCCAACCGCGTGTCTCCACTTTCCAGGACCAGCCTCTCGGGACAGCCCCAGTGCAGGCTGGAGAAGACCCTCATGTCCTGGGGCTGGGATGAGAACATGCCCCGGATGATGGAGTTCAGCAAGTTCTTCCTGCCCTCCGAGGCCTTCTACATGATCCGCGCTCACACCTTCTACTGAAGGCGCGTGGGCAGCAACCACCCGCAGCTGTGTAGCCAGCAGGACCTGGGTGTGCCGCCCTGGGTGCCGGAGTTCAAGTTTCAGCTGTGTACCAGGTGCCCCAACCTGGCGGCCGTGACAAGCTGAGACCCTGCTACCAGGGACTCACTGGCCAGTCGTGTGCAGCTGCGCTGAGCTGCTGACTGGCACGCCCACTGCTGAACCGGCCCCTAAGCCTGGCCACGTAACGCCGGGGGCCTGGTGACGCGTGGCTCCTCTTTCAAGCATAGTGCCAGTCCACAGAGGCCCTGTACACCCATCTGCAGTCACCACCCTCCATGGCTGCTTGTCCCTTGTGGTGATAAAGATCTTGAAAGAGAAAAATAAAATACAACGAAATTTATTATTATGAAATAATATAATGCACATAAAGAAAAGGGCATAAAACAAATGCAGCATCTAATGACTGATCATAAAATAAACACTCACGTAGGCTCATCCAGGCAGGAAATACAGCACTTCCTGTGTGCCAGGACCCACCCCAACCTCTCAGCACACACACGCACACACACACCATAAATTACAGGCAGAGTTACAGAGAGAGAGAGAATCTTCTACCTCCTGGTTCACTCTCCAGATGGCCACAATGACTGGAGCTGGGCCAGACCAAAGCCAGGAGCCAGGAACTCCACCCGGGTCTCCCACATGGGTGCAGGGGGGCAAACACTTGAGCCATCTTTTGGGGCTTTCCCAGGCATATTAGCAGGGAGCTGGATCGGAAGTGGAGCAGCTGGGACTCGAACAAGCGCCCCCATGGGATTCCGGTGTCTCATGCCACAGCTTAATCCCCTGTGCCACAACGCCAGCCCCCAGGGCTAGAACTGTTGAATATTCTGCAAGGAAGCAGTGAGCAAGCAGGTCAGGCAGGGGCTGACAATTGCTTCTGGCTCTTCTGCTTTGAACCCAGCTTCCCACCAATGCACACACTGGGAGGCTGCAGGCGATGGTGAGTGTTTGGGTTGCTTCAGATTGAGTTACTGGCTCTTAGCTTCAGCCTGACCCAGCCCTGGCTGTTACAGGCATTTGGGGAATGAAACAGAGAATGGAAAATGCTCCCCCGACCCCACCCCCGCCATTCAATTAAAATAAAAATAAATGTTTTTTTAAATGAAATACCTAAAGTGGGTTCTGTTTTCTGTTTTTGCTCTTACTAATGTTTTCCTAAACAGCATTTCCCAAAGTCTCTGGTAATTAGAATCACTTACTAATCATCAAGGAGAATTTACTAAAAATACAAATCCCAGGGCCCCAAACCCAGACCTTGTGAATCAGATTTTCCTGGAAAGGAACAGAGGAATCCATGTTTGACAGGGATGCTGGGTAACTCCTGGGAGCCAGGAAGTTTGGGGAACTCCATCTTTCTCAGAACTGCACACAGCGCTGGCCCCTCTGGTTTTTCTGAAACTGATTTGTGAACTCATTTCTTTCTTTTCTTTTTTTTAAGATTTATTTATTTGAAAGACAGAGGCAGAGGCAGAGAGAGAGATCTTTCATCCACTAATTTACTCCCCAAATGGCCACAAGGGGCGAAGCTGCGCTGATCTGAAGCCAGGAGCCAGGAGCTTCTTCCAGGTCTCCCATGTGGGTGCAGGAGCCCAAGCACTTGGGCCATCTTCTACTGCTCTCCCAGGCCACAGCAGAGAGCTGGATCAGAAGTGGAGCAGCCGGGACTAGAACTGGCGCCCATATGGGATGCCGGCACTGCAGTGGTGGCTTTACCCACTGTGCCACAGCTCATTTCTAATCACATGTTCTCCACTGGAGCCTTCTCTTTTGTCCATGAACATAATCATGGCTCCTGCAGCCCTAGCTTTCCTCAAACACCCCTAGCTCCTTTTCCTACTCCAACAAAGCCTCCTTTAAAATGTCGCTACCTGCTGCCTCAGTTTCCCCACCTTGTGCTCTATGACCCACCTCTACCATGGTCTGACTTCACTCTCACCAATCCAACAAGCTTCTAGAAGATTCCCCCAGCACGCAGTCCCCAACCTGGCATCCCCACGGCCTCTGCTGCTTGGTTGTCTCCTCTCCTGACCTCTGGTCTGTCATGCACTCTCTTAGTTTCATTTGCTGGGGTGCCTTTGGCCGCTCTGCACGTGTGGTGGTCCCCCAGAGATGCTTGCTGGGGACTGTTCTGTTCTCATCAGCCTCTGCTTGAACACACCCTGAGGAGCTGGGGTGTACCACCATCACCTGGGAGGCATCCAGATTCCGCTGCTCACCTGTGACCTCAATTTCTGCCTCGCTCTGACTCACTGCGAACTCCTTCACAGACAGACAGGGGAGAGACTCCCCTCTGTCACACTGAGGCCGGGAGCCGTGTTTCTCAGTCTCTTCCTGGGGACAGGTGTCACTCACACCCCACAGTGCTTAGCAATGTGAATGTATTCTAAGAAGCATGTGGCCAGGCGGGAACATCACAGGGTCCCTCACAAACTGAGACGGCCATGGTGTCACTAGGCGAAGCGGTCTTGTGGGACCACCGTGTGCATGGGGTCTGTTGTTGACCAAAGCCTGGTTACGTGGTGCACGACTCTAATAATGCATCAACATGTAATGTGTAATGGTAACACGGGACTTGACAGTGCCAGCTCGCTCCCCTGAGGCCCACATCGATAGATATAATTTCTTATTGTCTTCTTCTGGGTGTTTCGCTAACATTTCAGACTCAACCAAAACCAAAGTGGTAAATTTTCCCCTCAAGCTGGCTTTTTCTCCAGGGCTTCCCACACCTGTCATCTTTTTAAAAAAATTTTTTTTTTTACTTATTTGAGAGGGATGGAGATAGCCCATCTGCTGGTCCGTTCCCCAAAGGTTAATAACAATGAGGACTGGTACTGGCTAGGCCAAAGCAGGAGCCAGGAACTCCATCTGGGCCTCTCACATGGGTGGCAGGAGCCCAAGTACCTGGGCCATTATCCACTGCCTTCCTAGGCGCATTAGCAGGAAGTTGGATCAGAAGCAGAGTAGTTGGGGCCAGCATTGTGGCACAGGGTAACTGCTGTTTGTGATGCCAGAATCCCATATTGGAGAGCCAGTTTGAGTCCTGGTGGCTCCACCGCTACTACTTCTCCTTCTCCTTCTCCTCCTTCTTCTCCTTCTTTTTCCTCTTCCTCCTCTTCCTCTCCTCCTCTCCTCCTCCTTCTTTTAAATTTATTTACTTGAGAAGCAAAGTTACATAGAGAGAGGGAGAGACAGAGAGAAAGATCTACTATCTATCTGCTGATTCACTCCCCAGCGGCACAACAGCTGGAGCTGAGCTGATCTGGAGCCAGGAGCCTCCCCTGGGTCTCCCACAGGGAAGTAGGGCCCCAAACACTTGGGCCATCCTCCACTGCCTTCCCAGGCCACAAGCAGAGCTGGATTGGAAGAGGAGCAGCCAGGACATGAACCGGTGCTCATATGGGATGCCAGCACTGGAGGTGGAGGCTTAGCCTACAATCCACAGCGCCGGCCCCAAGTGGCTCCAGTTCTGATCCAGCTCCCTGCTAACGCACCTGGGAAGGCAGCAGAGGATGGCCGAAGTCCCTGGGCCTCTGCCACCCACATGGGAAACCCAGATGGAGTCCAGATTCCTGGTTTCAGCCTGGCCTAACCCTGGCTGTTGCAGCCATTTGGGAAGTAAACCAGCTAATGGAAGACACCACCGCGCCCCCCCCCCCCCCCCCGCCTTTTAAATAAATAAATCCTGAAAGAGAGAGAGCAGTTGGGACTCAAACCAGCACTCTGCATGGGATGTGGTGACTTAACTCACTATGCCACAATGCCTGCCCCAGGTCTGTCATCTTTTTTTTTTTTTTTGAAAATTTTTTATTGTATGCTGCTGCCAATGTATATAAAATAATTACCCTTGTGAAATAGAAATTCATGAAAATTCAGAGAGTAGATGTCAGGACTGACAAAAGTAGAAATTTGACTATCCTGGCACATGTGTTAAGGGAAGCGTTTGTACAGGCTTCAAATTTAGCTCTCTCTCTCTCTTGAATGAATGAATGAATGCATATTCACCGGTTAATGAGAAGCGGTTCGGGAGCCCTCTGAAAGATTCCTTTGACTACAGAAAGGAGCAGCCTTCCCGGGGTCTGAAGGGCTTTGTGGTTGAAGGTACTCCAGTGGGTCGTGTGGAGCATTCTGCAGACAGAGCTGCTTCAAGTTCAAGTCTGCAGCTGCCTGGAGAAGCTTCACTCCGTGGAGGCCGGCCACCAGTCAGAGCTGCTGAACCACTTTCTTCATAGTGGCCACGCTGGAAGAACCAGACTTGGCACACGCGACACAGGGGGCCAATTCGTCCGTCGCAGGTCTGTGGGCCCAGAGTCCTTGAGGCCAGACCGGGGGCAGGCGGGGGAAGGGGCTCCGAACTTTGTGCAGCTTTGTCGTCTTGGTGGTCACCAAAGCTCCACACCCTGCGTGAGCACCCCGCCCTCACAGTTCTTCCCCACACAGCGAATTCTCTCTCCCTTCCTTCCCTTGTCTGTGGCTGGCTCAGGTCCTCATCACAATGGTCCTTACCTGGTTGTCCAGCTTTGAATCTCGCTTCCCTGGGCCTCACGGCTACACACTGCTCCTCTTCTCTCAAGAACGTGTCTGCGATGTCGGGCCCCTGGCCACAAGGACCGCTGACTTCTCACTGCAGGGGAATTCAGTTCACAATCACAAACTGACCCCAACCTACAGCTGGGTTAGTCTCCTACTGTCCCCATGTGTGACACTGGTGGTCATTGTTGGTGCATCCTCACATGTATTTCCATGTAGCACGCTTTTCCCTTCCTTGTGAAACTGCACATTCCATTCCTCAAGTCCAGATTCCAGCAGCACCTCGGCTGATCCCATGCCAACCTCTAGCCCACACGCTTGCAGCTCCCCGAGATGACCTTGGCGTAGTAGGAGGCTGTGCAGCATGGGCACGTACCATGGCACGGCCAACCCAGAGTTCTGAGTCACTGCCTGGCACACTCCCCTGCCACAAGGCCCCGCCTCCTTTTGTTTCGTGTGCCAGTACTCAGCACGGTGACTTGGGTGGGGAAACAGGAGATTCAGCTAGATGCTTGCTAAATTGAAGTGAATTGTTGAGAACACATTGCGGATCAAGTACCTGAATTTGAGATTATGAAAAAAAAAGAGAAGAGGAAATTGTGTTGGAGCA